ACCGTTTAAACTTCCTACAATGATATTGTCCTCATGTTTTTTATCTGTATCTTCAAATAAGTTATCTACCGTTAAAGCATCACAGCTAAACGTTTCGTTTTGGCCACATAATGTCGACCAGCAATCTCTCGCTCTGAATAATGACATAGCTATAATAAATATATTACTTTAATTTTAATTAACCAAAAACAAATAATAATTCGATTCTTCTTAATTTTTATTAAATAACATACAAACTTATTTTACTTGAATTTTTATGTTAATTTTACCATTTTAAAACAATTATTAATACAATATGTTAATTTATCAAAATTTAAACTAAAACAAACAAATTAACGAATATTGTCACATTTAATGATTGTTATTTGAGGAATACTTAAAAAGTTTAATAACTTATATTAGTGCTATATATTTTTATTAAATAATCCTTATCATGATGGTCATTTGAATTTTCAGATAATCATACTAACAGTATAAAACTTATCAATTACTCCAACTTGATAACAATGAAAATATTTGTAAACATTTAATAATTAAAATCCCACACGATATAAGCTTGTAAAATTATTTTATTTTATTACATTTCTAAAAATTAAAGTCAACTTACCTATGTTCTAAAAACCCAGCTAACTGAAAGCGAAATTTATCATAAGTTAGAATATTTTTACGATTGTTAAAAACAAAATATCATCGTCGTTATGGCAACAAAATAACAACATAGCAACCAAAAAACAATTTATTCAATGAAACATTTTATTTATTTGATAGCAAGAATTAATTTATGACTAATAATTTATAATTTGTATATTTAATAGAATCATACATAACATACAGATATAAACTAAATTATCAGTACACTATTCAACACACTATAGTGATAAATGTAATTTACAAAGTCGGTTTTTTTTCCAACTAAAAATTTTATAAATGAAATCTAACAAATTAAAAATCTGATTTTTGATGCCAAAGAGGTATCAACTAAACAATATCCTTTTAAATTCAAGATGGAAAAAATAGTTTTACGTTCTTTGGTACATATATTTAAATATTTCATATAAATTCGGTACAATTTATCAATTAGCAGTCCATTGATTTATTATAAAAATAGTCGTACAATTATGTTTGTACTGATGTAATAATTTAAATGATGAAATAATCTGTTTTGAAATAACAGAAGCCTTATATTTGAACATATTATTTTTTTAAACAAATGAAATTAATATTTATTACAAGGAAATTAAACAAAAAGACTAAGAGAAATATGTTACAAGACAACAAAGTTTAAAATTAAATCATTTAAGGTTCACACTAGTTTGGTATGTATAGGATTTTTAATAAATTAAAAAACATTTCTTACACATTTACAAATGTTAGGGATACAATTGTATACAAAGATGTGTAAAACAAACCAAATATAAGCTAATAACGGTTTATACAATAACCTCATAAATATTATTAATAAATAAAGTAGCAGTAAGCTGACAAAAGTTAGTCTGTTAAATATTTATGAGATCTTTTGGCACTACAAATTATTTTTTATTTTTTATCCACTGCATACTTCTGAATGATCATCCCAAGCATCAATCTGTAATTATAAATAAAAAAACACTTTGAAAAATTGATGTTTTTACTGATTTACTTTTTTTACAATTTGTGTTTATATACAATGTCTCCCCAAGTATGTGAGTTAATGTTTGTATTAGGAAAAACAGAAAAATTTGAACAGCTTGATGGAATAGAACCAAATTTTTGATAG